ATTATTATTATTATTATTATTATTAAATTACAGAGTTCTTGTGGGAACCCTCCTTATCACTCAGCTCTTCACTTGATTCCTTATCTGCTGTTGCTACTTCTGACTCTCCTGAATGCCATTGAGGACCTGCTTCCCTGAGTCCCTTTGGGGAGATGGAGGTAGGATATAAAAATAAAGTTGTTGTTGTTGTTGTTGTTGTTGTTACAGCTGGGTTCTTGTGGGAACCCTCCTTATCACTCAGCTCTTCACTTGATTCCTTATCTGCTGTTGCTACTTCTGACTCCCCTAAATGCCATTGAGGACCTGCCTCCCTGAGTCCCTTTGGGGAGATGGAGGCGGGGTATAAAAATAAAATTATTGTATTATTTTATTATAACTTGGCACACAGAGCTCCCATGACCAGCAGAAAATACTGGGAGGGTTTCATGGTCACTGAGCTGGAGTTTTGGAGTTGTCGTTCACCTACATCCAGAGAGCACTGTGGATTCAAACAGTGATGGATCTGGACCAAACATAGCACGAATACTCAATATGCCCAAATGTGGACATTGGTGGAGTTTGGGGAAAATAGACTTTGACATTTGGGAATCATAGTTGCTGGGATTTATAGTTCACCTACAATCGCAGGAGGAGGAGGGCTTTAGTGGGAGGATTTGTTGTCCTTTTCCAAAAAGGAAGAGAGGGACGGGAGAAGATATCTTCAGTCTTCTCTGCCAAATGAGTTCCTAAGTTCCTACCGGCTGTTAGGAATTGTGAAAGTTGGAGTCCAAAACACCTGGAGGGACGAAGTTTGCCCGTGCCTGTTATAGACCAAAGAATCATAACAACATGCTCCGGATGAATGCTTTATCTCCTGGCAACAATGCTTCTTATCAAACTAGGTCCTAATCTGAGCCCAGAAAGTCCCTGCCCTGGACAATCCGGTTTCTCAGCAATGTCAAGAAAAGGAAAGAAGGAATACCAAAAGCTGACAAGTCCAACTGGATCCACCTAAATCTGAATAATTAAAAAGTCCCACATTCTTCCCACTCGGAGCAAGTTTTGCCTGTCCTGTCCACTCCTCCCTTAATAAACAATTTTGGTAGTTGGAGCAGCTTTGTCTTGATATTTCGGACATTTATTTATTTACAATATTTATATTCCACCCTTCTCATCCCGCAGGGGACTCAGGGTGGATTACAATGTACATATACACAGTAAACATTCAATGCCATAGACACACAACATATATAGACAGACACACAGAGGCTATTTAATAGGCCTGGGTAACAACGGAAAAATTTGTTTCTAAAATCGATTCGTATTTTGGGGTTTTTTGCGTTTCGATATTTAAAAGAATTCCGAAATTTTCCTTAAAAAAAGTTCGATATTTACGAAATTTCGTAAATGGTAAAAAAATTACAAAACAATAACGAAACAATAACGAATCGATTCGTTAATGGCGGACGCGACCGCGCAATACGCTAAAAAAACTTCTGAAGCTTCCCTCTCCCTCTGTTGTTGACTGTTGGTGTGATATTATAATTTTTTTCACTAATTAAACAAAAAACAACTATAAAACTTGCCCCAGACATGCGGAAATAATAACGAAACGACCTCAAACCAATAACAAAACGAATACATAACGAAATACGAAGCATTTACGAAACAAATTGAAAAATTCGTTTCGTTTTTAAGTTGCTCCAGAATGGTTCATTATCGCTTCATTAACAAAAAAATAACGAATTTTTAACGAATTACGAATTAACGAAACGAAACCGCCCAGCCCTACTATTTAACATTCTAGCTTTTTCATGAGGGTATTCTGGCCACCAGGGGAGCTGTCGCTGCACCGTCCATTTATGACACTGATGAAGTACTTCCTCATTCTTTGCATGCTTACTGGAGATTTTTTATGGTGTCATAAATTAGCCTCCCTGCATAAGTGGTACCTAAATTTTCCTACTTGACAGATGCAACTGTCTTTCGGGCTGAAGGTCGACAGCAAGCAACACAAATTGGTCGGAAGCTCACTCCGACCCAGGCTGGCTTTGAACTCATGACCTTTTGGTCAGTCATGATCTTAATGCAGCTGACTCCCAGCCAGCTGCGCCACAGTCCTGGTGCTATAATATTATAATGTAATACAATATATGGTAATACTAATAATAATATGATATTATAAATATATATTTATATTACATGTAATATTACTAATGATGTGCGGTTACGCACTGGGCCTATAGCAATTGGCTTTTGAAAAGGACATGCTCTTTGTGCCCAGCGGGAAGCCGGGGTGCCTCGAGTGAGAGGCCCTAAGGATTTTCCTATACAGAGTCTTTAAAAGCTCGAAAAGTTTAATAAAGTCCTTTATTAGTGCTTAGGTTTTCAACAAAACAATCAAATACTTCTTAGATCTTCAACAAATTAAACAAATACTTCAAGGCTTTGAATCAACTGGTGGCTTTCTTAATCTTGTCCACAAGGGACAGGCAACTGGCTTCGTGAACTGTTTCTTTTCTTTAAGAGGAAAACCCTTTTTAACCCCTCCTTGGGCAATCTACTTTCTAAACTTTGCTGGTGTGGGCTCTACTCCCGGCTCCAAACTGCTTCTTGGGTCCCGAGTAGACCTACCAGTCAAGGCTCTGTAGGTTCTCCAGATGGAGTCCTTTGGAACTGTTTTCCCCCGGAATTTCCCCCGGATGCTATTTCCCCAATATACTGTGAGAAACGAAGCTTCTCTACAGGTGGAGCTAATCCACGTCCTGTAGCTAAGCTTTCCAATGCAAGACTGACCTAAAATGGCTCCCTCTCCTCCCAGAGCCCTGGGGAAAGGGGCGGAACCAAAACTTAACAATGATTGATGGGTCATTTTCCCTATAATTGCAAACCAAGGGAAGCCACCTTATTGCAAAATGCATGAAACTTTAGAATACATGCAAACACTCAAAGAAAGAAAAGGAAGTTGGAGCTTTTGGTACAGCCGTACCAGCACAAATGATATTACAATATAATGGTATAACACAATATAGTAATATTTAATACTGATATTGTACTATGCTAATAATATAATATACTGTGTGTATGTATGTATATATGTGTGTGTGTGTGTGTGTGTGTGTGTATGTGTGTGTGTGTGTGTGTATGTGTGTATATATATGTGTGTGTGTGTGTGTGTGTGTGTGTGTGTGTGTATATATATATATATATATATATATATTGTAAGCCGCTCTGAGTCCCCTTTGGGGTGAGAAGGGCGACATATAAATGTAATAAATAAATAAATATTTACAAGGACATGAGGCCTCGGTGCAGTAAAGCATACAATCACTCCAGCTCGAACAACGTCACCCATTTATTCCTAGCCTTGTGACCACATTATATCATGGCCTGAAAGCATAGCTCCGTGTCTGCTGACCTTCATAACAAACGCAGCCCTGAAATGTTTAAAAAGGCCACAATTGTTGCTTTCCAATATCCTTGATGTCTATAATAAATGGATTACTCCATGGCAAATCCACCGTGCCGCTTTGCCAAGACAGGGAGCAAGCTGTTCTCTGAAATGTCATCCAGTTGGGGTTGGCGAGAAGGCTTCGCGTGCTTCTTTGCTGGTTTTCCATCCAAAGTGAAGATCCAACTGTGCTCCCTGCTTAATTTTATTATTTTACTTTATTCAAATATATATTTTAGACTGATTTTTGGGAAGATAATATCTTTCACTTAGTATGAATTATTATTGAAAATTAAATACCGAAATAATAATAATAATAGTAATAATAATACTTTATTTATACCTCACCACCATCTCCCCAAGGGACTCGGAGTGGCTTACATGAGGCCAAGCCCAACAACACATCAATAAAAAAACAAGCAATAAGCAAATAAACAATACAATTAATATAACTCACATATAGACAAAACACATAGAGATTTAAAAACCTATGGCCAGGCCAAATGTAGTAGTTAAAACTTTAACATAAATGCTGGACATGAACAAAGATGGGATGAATCTAGTAGGAGGGTTTTAAATGAGAAGTAGGGGGAGCAACCCAACTGGTAATTAAAGTGCTTCTCGGGATATTTTGCAGGGGATTGTGTCCTTTATTCTGGGAAGGCACACTGGAACAGCCATGTTTTCAGGCTCCTCCTAAAGACTGCCAATGTGGGGGCATGCCTGATGTCCTTGGGAAGTGAGTTCCAGAGTCGGGGGGCCACCACCGAGAAGGCCCTCTCCCTTGTCCCCACCAATCGCGCCTGCGAAGGAAGTGGGAGCGAGAGCAAGACCTCTCCAGATGATCGAAGAGATCGTGTGGGTTCGTACACAGAAATGTGGTCACGCAGGTAGGCGGGTCCCAAACCATTCAGGGCTTTGTAGGTAAGAACCTGCACCTTGAATTGGGATCGGAAAATGAACGGCAGCCAATGGAGCTCCTTAAACAGGAGGGTTGACCGCTCCCTGTAAGGAGCACCAGTTAACAATCTGGAAACTTGGCACGCCGGGCCCCGAACCCATTGTTTTAAAATCACATAACAGAATGATGCTGGTTGGTGCCTTTCAGTCATTTATGGCGACCCTATCATAGGATCGCCTTGGCAAGATTGGTTCAGAGGAGGTTTGCTTTGCCTTCCTCTAAGGCTGAGAGAGTGTGACTTAACATAGGTCAGACAGTGGACTTCCAGAGCAGAGTGGGCACTCTCCAACACCTCTTTATGGACCTAAATTAACTGAGGTCTCATGCCGTGACCGGGACATCCACAATGTCCATGGGAGCGTGATGCCTTCCCATGCGCCTTTACTCCAACATAAACCCACAGCAGCATTTCGGCCTCCCCAGCCTCCTTCCTCCCATGCAAAGAAACTCCAACTATTCCAAACAGAAAATCAGCCTTGACTCTGGCTAATTCCCAACCTGAATAGGTTTCCTGTGCCATTCCTGGCCTTGAGCGAGGAGGAGACATGCCGAATTAAGTGGCTGAAAACGGGAAAGTGGGGGAGGCCACGATGGACATAACCAGGTTGGGGTCCAGGAATTATAATCCTTGAGGAAGAGATTTCTATCTAGATCATATGACGACGGGTGGGGTGTATTTATTGGGGCTTTCTGGGAAGGGGGTTCCACTCGGAGAAGGAGACCAGGCAGATTGGAAGGATGCAGAACGCGGCCACAAACAGCAAGCTGAGCCCGGTTGGGAAAATGACCTTCCTTTCACGCACTGAGACCTTCGCAGCCGCCCACCGGCTACAAAGGTAAGGATGGGGAAGAGGGCTTGGAGGGCACAGGTGTGTCTCTTTCTGCAGGACAGAAGAGAAGAAAGAGGCTGGAAAAATGCACGGTATTTACTTTGCACATCCAGTATGAAATCAGTTGTTATCCTCCAGAAACTTTTGTTTCTTTGGCTGCCACAAACTAGGTTGAATTGATTGAGACTCAATGAGTTATTTATTGAAAAACTACAGCAAAATGTGGTGCAAAATGTCCCACAAAAAAACAGTATGAACGGGCAAGGGACTGTCTACATTCATCCCCCGCCATCCTACTTTTTGAATTTTCTCTCCTTCCTCCCATTCTCTCTTTGGCCTCAGCTTACTCTCCTTGATGCAAAAGGAGGTCCAAGTGCCAAAATACTTTGCAATCCTCTAATTCAGCAAATGTAGAAGAGGGGAGGAATCTTGCATTGCTACTTACATTTTTTTTTTTGCCAGAAAATGGACCAAAATACTAGGGAACCCTACCAAAAATATGACATACTAGCCGTCCCCTGCCACGCATTGCTGTGGCCCAGTCTGTGTATATGCGTTTTGTGTGAGTATAAATGTGTATATGTATGTTTGTGTATATATATTCTCAAATATTCTATATGCCCAAATATGAACACAGATGGAGTTTGGGGAAAATAGACGACATTTGGGGGTTTTGCACATGCGTTGTAATGTAATTTTTATTTTTTAGCTTTTTAAGTCTCTTCCGCTATGTTTCTCAGTGTTTTTATGAGTGATGGTCACTCGTTGCCCTGATAGGTGTCGTGTGTCCAAATTTGGTCTCAATTCGTCCAGTGGTTTTTAAGTTATGTCAATCCCACAAACGAACATTACATTTTTATTTATATAGACTAGCCGTCCCCTGCCACGCGTTGCTGTGGCCCACATGGGAGTTCTGTGTGGGAGATTTGGTCCAATGCTATCGTTGGTGGTGTTCAGAATGCTCTGTGATTGTAGGTGAACTATAAATCCCAGAAACTACAACTCCCAAATGTCAAGATTCTATTTTCCCCAAACTCCACCAGTGTTCACATTTGGGCATATTGAGTATTTGTGTAGAGTTTGGTCCAGATCCATCATTGTTTGAGTCCACAGTGATCTCAGGATGTAGGTGAACTACAACTCCAAAACCAAAGGACACTGCCCACCAAACCCTTCCAGTATTTTCTGTTGGTCATGGGAGTTCTGTGTGCCAAGTTTGATTCAATTTCATTGTTGGTGCAGTCCTATGGCCCTAACCATTTCAATGTGCATGCAAGATGGTTAGTTTCCCAACACCTATGGCTCTATCCAAGCTTTTTCAGGCCTGAAGGAAGGGATGTTTGGTCTCACCTTGCAAAGTAATGCCAGGCTGGGAAATAGAAGTTGCTGAGAGTTATCTTTGGTATCATGACATCGTATTGGTTGTTTATACCTAGTCTTTCCCTAAAGGTAGAATTCAAGATGATTTTGGAAAGGAAAAGAAGCGCAAGGCAGGTAAAATATGGAAAATAATATAAGTTTTTTAAGCAGAATTGAACCGTCTCAAGAATATTAAAAGTCATAGGGTGCATCTACACCAGGTATGGGCCAGTTTGGGCCCTCCAGGTGTTTTGGACTCCAACTCCCACCATTCCTAACAGCCTCAGGTGCCTTCCTTTTCCCCCTCAGCCGCTTAAGCGAAATACTCAAGGTGCAATTGCAAACCATGCCAACAAAGAGAAAAAATAGGACAAGTGCAAAGAAGCCAGAATGGATGTCATAGAATCATAGAATCAAAGAGTTGGAAGAGACCTCTTGGGCCATCCAGGTCCAACCCCCTGCTATTTTTCTCCTTATGGCCACCACAACCTGACAGATGGCCATCCAGCCTCTGTTTAAAAGCTTCCAAAGAAGGAGCCTCCACCACACTCCGGGGCAGAGAGTTCCACTGCTGAACGGCTCTCACAGTCAGGAAGTTCTTCCTCATGTTCAGATGGAATCTCCTCTCTTGTAGTTTGAGGCCATTGTTTCGTGTCCTAGTCTCCAGGGAAGCAGAAAACAAGCTTGCTCCCTCCTCCCTGTGGCTTCCTCTCACATATTTATACATGGCTATCATATCTCCTCTCAGCCTTCTCTTCTTCAGGCTAAACATGCCCAGCTCCTTAAGCCGCTCCTCATAGGGCTTGTTCTCCAGACCCCTGATCATTTTAGTCGCCCTCCTCTGGACACATTCCAGCTTGTCAATATCTCTCTTGAATTGTGGTGCCCAGAATTGGACACAATATTCCAGGTGTGGTCTAACCAGAGCAGTATAGAGGGGTAGCATGACTTCCCTAGATCTATTTATTTATTTATTTATTTATTTGATACACTTGTATACCGCTAATATCTCAGCCTAGAACGGCGACTCATTGCGGTTTACAGCAGTTAAAACAATCTACAATTTAAAAACATATACACATATAATAACAAATTCAATAACAAATTATTGGGCCACCAATAATAATCCCATATATCTCGAGTTGAAATCGCAATCCAGAATTCGTTGTCCATGTTTCCTGTCCTTAGTCATCAATATTCGAATTGCCACAGATTAGCCGAATGCTTGTTTGAACAGCCATGTTTTGAGTCTCTTCCTAAACACCATCAGCGAAGAGGCTGATCGTACCTCTATAGGGAGGGTGTTCCAAAGCCGGGGGGCCACCACAGAGAAGGCCCTATCTCTCGTTCCCGCCAGCCGCACTTCTGAAGCTGGAGGGATAGAGAGAAGGGACTCTCCAGAAGATCTTAGGGTCCTGGTGGGCTGATAGGCTGAGATACGTTCGGATAGATAAGTTGGGCCAGAACCGTTTAGGGCTTTAAAGGCCAACGCCAGCACTTTGAATTGAGCCCGGTAGCAAATCGGCAGCCAGTGGAGCTGGTGCAGCAAGGGAGTTGTATGCTCCCTGTGCCCCGCTCCTGTTAGTATCATGGCTGCCGCCCGTTGGACTAACTGGAGCTTCCGGACTGTCTTCAAAGGCAACCCCACGTAGAGAGCGTTGCAGAATAGAAGGGTAGCATGACTTCCCTAGATCTAGACACTATGCTTCTATTGATGCAGGCCAAAATCCCATTGGCTTTTTTTGCCGCCACATCACATTGTTGGCTCATGTTTAACTTGTTGTCCACGAGGACTCCAAGATCTTTTTCACACGTACTGCTCTCGAGCCAGGCGTCCCCCATTCTGTATCTTTGCATTTCATTTTTTCTGCCAAAGTGGAGTATCTTGCATTTGTCACTGTTGAACTTCATTTTGTTAGTTTTGGCCCATCTCTCTAATCTGTCAAGATCGTTTTGAATTCTGCTCCTGTCCTCTGGACTATTGGCTATCCCTCCCAATGTGGTGTCGTCTGCAAACTTGATGATCATGCCTTCTAGCCCTTCATCTAAGTCATTAATAAAGATGTTGAACAGGACCGGGCCCAGGACGGAACCCTGCGGCACTCCACTTGTCACTTCTTTCCAAGAGGAAGAGGAAGCATTAGTGAGCACTCTCTGTGTTCGTCCACTTAACCAATTACAGATCCACCTCACCGTAGTTTTGCCTAGCCCACATTGGACTAGTTTCCTTGCCAGAAGGTCATGGGGGACCTTGTCGAAGGCCTTACTGAAATCCAGGTACGCTACATCCATGGCATTCCCTGCATCTACCCAGCTTGTAGCTCTATCGAAGAAAGAGATCAGATTAGTCTGGCATGACTTGTTTTTGATAAATCCATGTTGACTATTAGCGATGACTGCATTTGTTTCTAAGTGTTTGCAGACCGCTTCCTTAACAATCTTTTCCAGAATCTTGCCTGGTATCGACGTGAGGCTGACCGGACGGTAGTTGTTTGGGTCATCCTTTTTTCCCTTCTTGAAGATTGGGACCACATTGGCCCTCCTCCAATCTGCTGGAACTTCTCCCGTTCTCAAGAACTCTCAAAGATGGTTGCCAATGGTTCCGAAATGACTTCCGCTAGTTCCTTCAATACTCTGGGGTGTAGTTGATCTGGCCCTGGGGACTTGAACTCATTAAGAGCGGCCAGGTATTCCTGGACGACTTCTTTCCCAATTTGGGGTTGGATGTCCTCCAATCCCTCATCCACTCCACCTTGCTGAGGTTGAAGACTCTCTTTTTGTGAGAAGACCGAGGCAAAGAAGGCATTAAGTAGTTCTGCCTTTTCCCTATCCCCTGTCAGCATTGCCCATCTTCTCCTCGAAGAGGTCCTATCGCTTCCTTGTTTTTCCTTTTTCTACTGACATAAGAATAGAAGCCCTTTTTATTGTTTTTAATGTCCCTGGCAAGCCTGAGCTCGTTTTGTGCTTTAGCCTTGCGGACCTTTTCCCTACAGATGTTGGCTATTTGTTTGAATTCTTCTTTGGTGATTTCTCTCTTTTTCCACTTCTTGTGCATGTCTCTTTTGTGTCTTAGCACAGTTAGAAGTTCTTTGGACATCCATTCTGGCTTCTTTGCACTTGTCCTATTTTTTCTCTTTGTTGGCACGGTTTGCAATTGCGCCTTGAGTATTTCACTCTTGAGAAATTCCCATCCATCCGTAACTCCCTTGTCTTTTAGTATCTGTGTCCACGGAATGCTGCTCAGCGTTTCCTTCATTTTTTGGAAATCAGCTCTCCTAAAGTCCAAAATGCGGGTTTGACTTGTCTTAGTTTCGGCCTTCCTTTGTACCTCAAATTGCAGGAGCACATGGTCACTTGCCCCTAAGGATCCTACCACTTCAACCGCATTGATCAGGTCCTCCGCATTTGTTAGGATGAGATCAAGAGTAGCCAACCCCCTTGTTGCCTCTTCTACCTTCTGGACCATGAAATTGTCTGCAAGGCAAGCGAAGGAATTTGTTGGACTTTGTACTCTTGGCCGAGTTTGTTTTCCAGCAAATATCGGGATAGTTGAAATCGCCCATGACTACATCTCTTCTCTGTGCCTGTTTGGTCAACTGTTGGCAGAAGACTTCATCAAGTTCTTCCTCCTGGCTTGGGGGTCTGTAGTAGACGCCTACAACGACATCTTTTTGAGTCCCAGTTCCCTTGATTCTTATCCAGATGATTTCAAGCTGGTTTCCCAGATTGCTGTCTTGAATCTCTTCTGCAGCATAAGAGATTTTGACATATAAGGCTACTCCGCCTCCTCTCCCCTTTGTTCGGTTTCTGTGTCCAAAGAACTTCTAACTGTGCTAAGACACAAAAGAGACATGCACAAGAATTGGGAAAAGGGAGAAATCACCAAAGAAGAATTCAAACAAATAGAAAAGGCCCGCAAGGCTAAAGCACAAAACGAGCTCAGGCTTCCCAGGGACATTAAAAACAATAAAAGGGCTTCTTTTCTTATGTCAATAGAAAAAGGAAAAACAAGGTGATAAGGCCTCTTTGAGGAGAAGATGGGGCAATGCTGACAGGGGATAAGGAAAGGGCCTGAGGCTGTTAGGAATGGTGTCCAAAACACCTGGAGGGCCCAAGTTGGCCCATGCCTGATCTACACTGTGGAATGAATGGAGTTTGTCACCACTTTAACTGGCACGGCTCAATACTATGGGATCGTGGGATTGGTATATTTACATCTGCCAAAGAGTGCTGGTGCTTCACCAAAAACAAGTCCCAGGATTCCCATAGTATTGAACCACAGTAGTTAAACAGGTGCAAACTGCCTTCATTCTCCAATGTGGATGCACCCTCTCGTGCTGTTTTCTCTCCCTTTGCTCTTGGTTTGTTTGCATCTTCAATCACCATCCCGTTGTCTTTCCAGCAAATCTCTGAACGATGCCGAGAACCGGAAACTCTTTGGGAAATGCAACCAAAGCCACGGACACAACTATAAAGGTAAAGGAGCACCGAGAACAGAGTTTGGGGGCATTGTAGTCCTTGCTCCATTGGGACCTTGGGTGGGTCACACTCTCTCAACCTCAGAGGAACATATCCTGGCCAGGAAACCTAATCATGAGCTTGTCTTGGGTGGCCATACATCAAATGTGACTTGAAGGCACACAGTAACAATACGGATGTATAGATGGACATATAGAGCAAGAGATGGGCTTTCCTGGCTCTTTGCTACCATCTTGTGGTCCAAAAATACTACTATCCATTCTTAAAACATTGTCTTCTCCTCCCCACCCATCTTGTCTTTTAGTGACAGTGACCATATGTGGAAAGGTAAGCGTTTGTAGTTATTGTCATTCTCGCTCAAACAATTTGGGGTTTTTTTTGGGGGGGGGGTCCAGATTATGTATTTCTAGACACTATGTAAAACAGAGCTGTCTTAATATTGTATCTATAGATTGATCCCATCAGTGGCATGTTCATGAACATTTACAAGCTTCAGGAATATATGCAGGTAAGTGTTGTTTCCAGCATACAGTGTGTGGAGAGAGAGAGACAAATCTGCTTCTTAGGACTCATCTACACTGCCATATAATGCAGTATAAGAATGCATTGAACTGGACTCTATGGCCGCGTAGACTCATATCATCCAGTTCAATATGGTTCATACTGCGTTCTGAAATTGCATTCATTTGAGAGTGTAGATCCAGCCTTAGACTGACTCATAAGTCAGCAAAAGAATGGGGATAAGAGAAGATTCCATCTGAACGTTAGGAAGAATTTCCTGACTGTGAGAGCTGTTCAGCAGTGGAACTCTCTGCCCCGGAGTGTGGTGGAGGCTCCTTCTTTGGAGGCTTTTAAACAGAGGCTGGATGGCCATCTGTCAGGGGTGATTTGAATGCAATATTCCTGCTTCTTGGCAGAATGGGGTTGGACTGGATGGCCCATGAGGTCTCTTCCAACTCTTTGATTCTATGATTCTATGATTCTATGATAATGGATCTTGTTATCTATGGAAATAGCAAATGGTTAGGATACTCAGATGCCAAGATCTGGATTACAGGAGATAGTATTTTTTTTCTCCAATCCTCAGGAGGAGAACTCAAATTTCAGGGCAAGAACACTACCATGAAAATAAAATAACAACGACGACAACAACAACAACACTTTATTTATATTCTTCCCTTCTCTCTGAAGGGTACTCAGAGCCAATTACAGTGTGTAAACAGACACAGCTAAACATTCAATGCCTTGTTACATGACATACAATGAGACACAAATACATAGGCAAAGGCTTCTCCTTTCATTTCCGGCTCTGGAGGCAGTGCTCATCTCCAGCTCTGGGAGAGGTGCTCTTTTTCCAAGCCAAGGCGCCTACGTTGTCCATAGACACCTCCTGATTGTGTGGCCAGCATGACTGCTTCTTCTTTGGTGATTTCTCCCTTTCCCCACTTCTTGTACATGTCTCTTTTGTGTCTTTTTGTCTTTTCCCACAAAATGCACAAAAATTGCCAAAACAGTTACAACCAGAGGCAGCCCTAGGTAATTTTCAACGGTAAGCAAACAGTATTTTCGTGCCCCCCACCCCCAACCAATCACTGATATATATTTTCTGTTCGTCGTGGGAGTTCTGTGTGCCCTATTTGGTTCAATTCCATCATTGGTGGAGTTCAGAATGCTCTTTGATTGTAGGTGAACTTACATCCCAGTAATCATTCGTCTCCGACTCTTCGTGACCTCATGGACCAGCCCACGCCAGAGCTCCCTGTCGGCCGTCACCACTCCCAGCTCCTTCAAGATCAGTCCACTCACTTCAAGGATGCCATCCATCCATCTTGACCTTGGTCGGCCCCTCTTCCTTTTACCTTCCACTTTCCCCAGCATAATTGTCTTCTCTAGGCTTTGCTGTCTCCTCCTGATGTGGCCAAAGGACTTCAACTTTGTCTCTAGTCTCCTTCCCTCCAGTGAGCAGTCGGGCTTTCTTTCCTGGAGGATGGACTGGTTGGATCTTCTCGCAGTCCAAGGCACTCTCAGAACTTTCCTCCAACACCACAGTTCAAAAGCATCTCTCTTCCTTCGCTCAGCCTTCCCTAAGGTCCAGCTCTCACATCCGTAGGTGACTACAGGGAATACCATGGCTTTGACTATATACATGTTGAACTATACATCCCAATAACTACAACTGGCATATGTCAAGGTCTATTTTTCCCCCAGAGCGCCTCAAGAGCGCACCCTGGGCAACATCAACTCTACTGCGAAGGCTTACTTTGCGTAAGGGTTGAGCCACCCCTGGTTACGACTTACGAACGCGCCCACAATTTTGCACAGCTCTAGTATGTATGGCAAGGGAAGACACCAACATGCTCTCTCTTCCACAGGAGGCCATCATGGAGCCCCTGGACCACAAAAACCTGGACCAAGATGTGGACTTCTTTGCCAGTGTCCCAAGGTGGGTGAAATCAGGGCCTAAAAGGAAAATGATGCTGGGAGCCCCCCCCCCCCCCCGGACATTTTGCGGCGGCAATTCGGTCTCGATGCTGCGAGATCCCTGTAGATGCATTTAACATTAATAATGTTGCAATATGATATATTGTATATACTACAACTTACGATATACTACAATATATCATATAATACGAATAGTATAATATACTGGTAGTACATTATATATATTGTGGTATAATCAAATATTATAATATAATAAGATATAATAACATCATAATTGTATATTATATATTGCATATAATATTACTAATAATATTGCAATACCGTGGTATAGCACAATATAGTAATATATAATACTAATATTGTGCTATGCTAATACTATATACATATAATATTAATATTATAATGTAATACAATATACTGTTAATAATACAATAATATTGTAATATAATGCAAATATATTTAATACAATGGTTCTGTCGCGCGCTGGGCCTGTAACAGCTGTACTTTTCTATAGGACGTATACTTTAAGCCCAGCGGGAAGCCAGGGGTGCCTCAAAGAGAGGTTCTCAGGGATTTTTCTGAAGTGATGGTCTTTAGAGTCTTTAATGATACAACAAAGTCTTTATTATGGAACAAACAACAAATCTTCAATGGTTCAAACAACACTTCAAGGCTTTCTTAGTCTAGTCCTCAATGGACTGGTACCTGACTTTAATTAACTGTACTTTCTCTGTAGGGAAAAAAACCCTATTTAACCTCTCCCAGGCTGTTTACTATCTATGCCTCATCGGTGTGGGACCTACTACCGATTCCAAATGCGTCTGGGTATCGAGTAGACCTACCAGCCGAGGCTTGAAGATATTTCAGCTGGAGTTCCATGGATCTGTAATGCTGTTCTCCCTTCGAGAATTCTTAGAAACTTCAGGGCTGTTCCCTCTGATGCTGTGAGGCTGAGAGGCTGTGAGCTCTCAGCCAGAGCTTTTGGGACCTTTCTCCTGGAATTTCTGCTTCTGTATCCCCGGATGTTACTTTTTCCCTGGATGGTTCCTTTTCCCTGGATGGTTAGTTCCCTTGGATGCTCTTGAGAAAGGAAGCTTTTCTATGGGACGAGCTGGTCTACATCCTATAGCTTAGCTACCTTGCGTGAGACTGCCCAGAAAATGGCTCCTTTCCCTCCCAGAGCCCTGAACAAAGGGTGGAACCAAAGCTTGATTATGATGGACAGGAGGCCTGCCCTATGACCGCAAAACAGATAACAGAAAGAAAATAAAGTTGGAGCTCCTGGTACAGCCATACCAGCACAATAATACTACTGATAATGTATAATAATATATAATGATAATACTGTTTTAGTACTGTATATTTCTATATTTTAAATTGTAATATTTATAATTGTGAGCCCCTTTGAGTCTCCGTATGGAGAGAAAAAGCAGGATATAAATAAATATAATAATAATAATAACTAAAGATGTGAAAAGGAAATATATTTAGGATGTCCGTAAAATTTATTACGCATTTGTATTAAAATATCCGATCAGAGAGCGAAGCAAACTCAAAACGCAAGGTGCGTAAGTGAGGTAAAGCTTGGACTGTGACAAACGCATTGTGTGCTTTCCCTAGCAAGCCGTACCAACTGACTTCTCTCTTTTTCTCCTCTCTCTTTTGGCCAGCACAACGGAGAACCTGGCTGTTTATATCTGGAACAACCTGGAGAAAATCCTCCCTCTCGGATGCCTCTACAAAGTCAAGGTCTATGAATCTGAGAAGAACTTCATCGTATACAAGGGAAACTAACGAAGAAGGGGAGAAGGGTGGCTGGGAGAACTATTTTCCTACGTCCATCTTGATAAACATGTTGTTGTTGTTGTTTTAAATGAGGTCTGAGTGACAAGCCCTTACTAAGGCTGTCTGCCGAGTTAAACTGTATATCCATACAATCTCATAAAAGATGGTGTCATGTTTTCTAAATGAGTGATGGGAACGATCTGCATAATTCGCACAACAAAAACCTCATCCATTGCAACGGCGTTCCAAATTGCTTGTGTTTTGCAAAGTGGGATGTAAATACACATAATAAACACAACAAAGGAACTTCAGCTAGACTGCTGTTTGGGTTTTTTAATTATTTTTTTTGTGAGTTTCAGGATGTTACTTCTTTATCATTTCCACAGCTGCTATTATTATTATTATTATTATTATTATTATTATTATTATTCTGACATAAAAGCACAGTATGTCACAGCAAACGAGATCTCTATGCTGGATTTCATATCACAAAATCACAATTGGAACACTTCCCAAGCGTCTAGGACTGTGTGATGTATTTTCAAATATTTATTTATCGTGTCAGGGGCAACCAGACAATTGTATTACATTTCTAACAGAACAAAACAAACAGACAGACACAAAACAAAATTTGCAAGCTTGGTAGTTGATTAGATGTCCTTTGACCAGTATCTGGCCACTTGGAGTGCCTCTAGTGTTGCCGCAAGAAAGTCCTCCATTGTGCATGTGGCAGGGCTCAGGGTGCATTGCAGCAGGTGGTCAGTAGTTTGCTCTTCTCCACACTCGCATGTCGTGGATTCCACTTTGTGGCCCCATTTCCTAAGGTTGGCTCTGCATCTCGTGGTGCCAGAGCACAGTCTGTTCAGCACCTTCCAGGTCGCCCAGTTTTCTGTGTGTCCAGGGGGAGTCTCTCATTTGGTATCAGCCATTGGTTTAGGTTCTGGGTTTGAGCCTGCCACTTTTGGACTCTTGCTTGCTGGGGTGTTCCAGAGAGTGTCTCTGTAGATCTTAGAAAATTATTTCTTAATTTTCGAATGATGCATGCAGATCCAAGTCTGGTGGCCTTTTGCAGTTGACAGAGCGTGATTTTGTCGATGTTTATTGTTTCCAAATGCCAGCTGAGATCTTTTGGCACCGCACCCAGTGCGCCCATCACCACCGGGACCACCTATACTGGTTGATGCTGCCAGAGCCTTTGCCGTTCAATTTTGAGGTCTTGATAGCGGCTGAGTTTTTCCTGTTGTTTTTCCTCAATGCAACTGTCACCTGGTATGGCGACATCAATAATCCAGACTTTTTTCTTTTCCACAATCGTGACGTCTGGTGTATTGTGTTCCAAAACTTTGTCAGTCTGGATTCGAAAGTCCCATGGTATTTGTGCATGTTCATTTTCAACGACCTTTACGGGTTTATGATCCCACCAATTATTATTATTATTATTATTATTATTATTATTATTTATACCTCATTTTATCTCCAGAGAGGGGAACTCAAAGGCAATCTATATAAATAAAAATGTAATGTTCATTTGTGGGATTAACTCAAAAACCACAGGACGAATTGACACCGAGTTTGATCACAATACACTTATCAAGCCGAGTGAGCATGGCTTCAAGTCCCACCAGGCTGCAAAAGCGCGACTGCAAGGATTACAGGTCCCATCAGGCTGGATCTGCTTGGCTTCAAGGACTACAAGTCCTACCAGGCTGCATCAGCGTGACTTCAAGGACTACAAGTCCCATCGGGCTGGATTAGAATGGCCTGAAGGACTACAAGTCCCACCAGGCTGGATCAGCATGGCTTGAAGGGCTAGAAGTCCCATCAGGCTGGATCAGCGAGACTTCAAGGTCTATAAGTCCCATCAGGCTGCATCAGCGTGGCTTCAAGGACTACAAGTCCCATCGGGCTTGATCAGCGTGACTTCAAGGACTACAAGTCCTACCAGGTTGCATCAGTGTGACTTCAAGGATTACAAGTCCCATCGGGCTAGATCAGCATGGCCTGAAGAACTACAAGTCCTACCAGGCTGCATCAGCGAGACTTCAAGGACTATAAGTCCCATCAGGCTGCATCAGCGTTGCTTCGAGGACTACAGTTCCCATCAGGCTTGATCAGCAGGACTTTAGGGACTACAAGTCCCATTGGGCTTGATCAGCAGGACTTCAGGGACTACAAGTCCCATCAGGCTGCATCAGCGTGGTGTCGAGGAGTACAGGCCTCATCAGTCTGGATCTGCATGGGTTCAAGGACTACAAGTCCCACCAGGCTGAATCAGAATGGCTCGAGGACTACAAGTTCCATCAGGCTCAAGAACCTGGGCCTGCTCTGTCCTGATTCAAACCTGTCTCCCAAGCTTCACAAAAACAAAACAAACCCATCTCCTCCCATGAAAGCCTGAGAAGTGGCAAAGTTTCTTCAAAGAAGGGCGGAATATGGGCACGTCCGAGGAGGAAAGGCTTCACTTGCCGCTACTGCGCATGCTCCAAGTTGTATGTCAAAGGCTAGAAGGCGGGCAAAGGAGAGGAGGGCTGGCTACAGTTGCCGCTACTGCGCATGCTCAGTGCCTCCCACCTCTTGATGTTGCCATGACGCCGCCGGTACGCAATTCGGGGCCTCCTCGCTTGGCTCGGATTTCCCGCTGCGTCTCCTTCAGCGCCTCCCACCGGCTCCACAGGTGAATTCGGTGGGTTTCCCACGGCTTGCCCCTATCTATGGGGCGGTGGGCGATTTACATGTATGCGCATGCGCGGGACTGAATGACAAGCGCCCACGTGCGCGCATGCGCGGGAACTATTTGCCAGCACTCATTCTGTGCGCATGCGCGGGGCTGGATAGCAGCTTTGGGAAATAACAATGGAAGAGTGGGAAAGCAACTTAAATAGCCTAAAGATGTATAATATAGTAATATAGTATAATATATTGGTAGTGTATTATATATATATTGTGATATAATAATATACTGCAATATAATAATATGTAATATAATAATTGTATATTATATATTGCATATAATATTGCAACATAGTGGTACAGTACAATACAGTTATATATAATATACATATATAATATATAATATAATATATATATATATATAATATACATATAATATATACAATATACATATAATATTGATCATAATATTATAATCTAATGCAATATAATACTAACAATACAATAATAATATTATAATAATATTGTAATATAGTAAACATGTAATATTAGTCATAATATTGCAGTATACTGCTATAGAAAAATATAATTATATATAATACTAATATTGAGTCCCCCTCGGGGTGAGAAAAGCAGTATAGAAATACTGTAAATAAATAATTATGCTGTGCTAATTATATATATATATAGATAGATCCTAATATTATAGTGTAATACAATATAATACTAACAATATAATATAATAATATAATAATAATGCTATTGCAATATAGTAAACATGTAATATTTATCATAATATTGCAGTATACTGCTATAGTAAAATATAATAATATATAATACTAATATTGTGCTATGCTAATAATATATATATATATATACATATAATATTGATTTTAATATTATAGTGTAATGCAATATAATACTAACAATACAATATAATAATAATAATATTGTAATATAGTAAACATGTAATATTAATCATAATATTGCAGTATACTGCTATAGTAAAATATAATAATATTTAATACTATAATATTGAGTCCCCCTCGGGGTGAGAAAAACTGTATAGAAATACTGTAAATAAATAATTGTGCTATGCTAATAATATATATATACATATAATATTGATCCTAATATTATAGTGTAATACAATATAATATTAACAATACAATGTAATATTAATCATAATATTGCAGTATACTGCTATAGTAAAATATAATAATATATAATACTAATATTGTGCTATGCTAATACTAATATATATACATATAATATTGATTTTAATATTATGGTGTAATGCAATATCATACTAATAATAAAATATAATAATATAATAATAATATTGTAATATAGTAAACATGTAATATTAATCATAATATTGCAGTATACTGCTATAGTAAAATATAATAATATTTAATACTAATATTGTGCTGTGCTAATAATATGATATATAGACATATAATATTAATCATAATGTTATAATGTAATGCAATATAATACTAACAATACAATAATAATATAATAATAATATTGTAATATAGTAATATTAATCATAATATTGCAGTATACTACTATAATATTGCAGTATACTACTATAGTAAAATATAATAATATACAATACTAATATTGTGCTATGCTAATAATAGTATATATACATATAATATTGATTCTATTATAGTGTAATGCAATATAATACGAACAATACAATAATAATAATAATATAATAATATTGTAATATAGTAAACATGTAATATTAATCATAATATTGCAATATACTGCTATAGTAAAATATAATAATATATAATACTAATATTGTGCTATGCTAATACTAATATATATACATATAATATTGATTTTAATATTATAGTGTAATGCAATATCATACTAATAATACAATATAATAATAATAATAATAATAATAATAATAATGTCATATAGTAAACATGTAATATTTATCATAATATTGCAGTGTACTGCTATAGTAAAATATAATAATATATAATACTAATATTGTGCTATGCTAATACTAATATATATACATATAATATTGATTCTAATATAGTTTAATGCAATATCATACTAATAATACAATATAATAATAATATAATAATATTTTAATATAGTAAACATGTAATATTTATCATAATATTGCAGTATACTGCTATAGTAAAATATAATAATATATAATACTAATATTGTGCTATGCTAATAATATATATATATAAATATAATATTGATCATAATATTACAGTGTAATACAATATAAACTAATAATATAATATTATAATATATAATAATATTGTAATATAATAATACTAATATATATATTACTCCTAATAATATATAATATTATATAATGATGTACCTTTTTTTGTATATATGAAGTTGCAGTGTTTTTGCTTGTGGGCCACTTTGACTCTCGTGTTACGTACTGATATTGGAAAGGAGAGAATCAGCAGTCTCAGAGTCTCCTTCTCTGAAGATTTTTAAGCAGAGTTTGAATGATCATCTGTCAGGAGTGTTTTGGTGGTGTCTTTCTCCATGGCAGAAAGAAGAGCTGGACTGACTGGCCTTTTGGGGTTCCCTTTCATAATCATAATATTGCAATCTACTGCTATAGTACAATATAGTAATAAATAACACCCCTATTGTGCTATGCTAATAATATATATATAATATTGATCATAATATTATAATACAATACAATACCAATAATACAATATAATAATATATAATAATGTAGTATAGTAATACTAATATATTACATATATATAAATATAACATATTACTCCTAATAATATATAATATTATTTATTGATATACTGTTTTATTGTATATTTGTATATTTTAAGTTGCAGTGTTTTTGATTGTGAGCTGCTTTGACTCATGTTACGTACTGGGAACCCGCAGTCAAAGTCTCCTTCTCTGAAGGTTTTTAAGCAGAGTTCGAACAGTCATCTGTCAGGAGCGTTTTGGTGGTGTCTTTCCTCATGGCAGAAAGAAGAGTTGGACTGGATAGCCTTTGGGGTTCCCTTCCAACTCTGAGATCCTATGACTCCTGATTGCCTTCCTTCTGCTCTGCAGTAAGTCGCTGAGCGACGAAGAAAACCGGGCGCTCTTTGGGAAATGCAACAACCCCAATGGACACGGGCACAACTACAAAGGTGAGGCGCCTGAGGAGAAACTGGGGCTGGCACAGCCCTCCTTGGCCTTCTGTGGCCCCATTCACGCTTTTATGGGATGGTTTTCTTAATGTGAATCCCACCTTGTAACTTGGTATTTCTTCCTATTCTCTCTTCCTAGTGGAGGTAACTGTACGTGGAAAGGTAAGCATTTCAAATGTATTACAGACTGTCTCAGGTGTCCGGCGATGCCCGGGTTGGGTCTTTTGTAATGCTACCTATTAGAAAAAAAACACCCGTTCTTTATTTTATTACTGGTTCCATTAGAAATGCATAAACATGTGGGTAAACTACAATTCCCATCATCTGTCATTGATCCCAAGTTAAAAGTTGGTTATGGTGGCCCAAATCCGTCATCAGTGGGGTTCACAGGGCTCTCTGAATGTGGGCGAACTACAACTCCCATTCTCCTCTGTCAGTTCCCTTCCCCCCACAAACCCCACCATTGTTGATAGGAGCCATCTTGAAAAATCTATACAAACATAGATGCATCCATCATACATATATACATAGATACATGCATATATACATGCATACATATTTTGACAGAGACATGCATAGATAGAGAGATAGACACGTGCATATGTATTTTGACAGACATATGCATAGATATATAGATACATGCATATATATTTTGACACACATAGATACATACATGAATACATAGATACATGCATACATATTTTGACAGACACATGCATAGATAGATAAATACATACATACATATGTATTTTGACAGACACATGCATAGATAGATAGATAGATAGATAGATAGATAGATAGATACATGCATACATATTTTGACCTACATAGATACATACATACATACATATTTTGAAAGACACATGCATACATGGATACATGCATAGATAGATACATGCATAGATACATGCATGTATCTATCTATACATTTTGACAGATACATTTTGACAGACACATGCATAGATAGATAGATAGATAGATAGATAGATAGATAGATAGATACGTATTTTGACAGACACATAGATACGTATATACATACATATTTTGACAGACACATGCATAGATAGATAAATACATACATATGTATTTTGACAGACATGCATAGATAGATAGATAGATAGATAGATAGATAGATAGATAGATAGATAGATACATGCATATGCATTTTGACAGACACATAGATACATACATACATATTTTGACAGACACATGCATCGATAGATAAATATATATATACATAAATGGATACATAGACACGTGCATACATATTTTGACAGATACATACATAAATAGATGCATGCACACATCTTTCAACAGACACATGGATAGATAAATAGATACATGCATACATAGATACATGCATACATATTTTGACAGACACATGCATAGATAGATCAATAGATAGCTACAGGCATATATATATTGACATGCATACATACATAAATACATGCATACATATTTTGACAGATACATACATAAATAGATGCATGCACACATATTTCGGTAGACATATGGATAGATAAATAGATACATGCATGTATAGATGCATATATACATAGATACATAGATATATGTATACACAGATACATGCATACATAGATACATGCATAGATGCATACATACAATTATATATAGATATATGTATACATAGATACATGCTTTTGGACAAACAGATTTCTCAGCATCAGCTGTTTCGGGATTCTCGTTAATACCAACAGCCTGCATATTTCCCTCCCTTCCGGGCTTTGTTCTGCAACACTGAATTTTGACACTGAGTAGGGTTGTGTCCAATTGTGGGAAGCACATGGGGGTCCACATGTGACAGGTGACCATGTTCCTCAGAAGCCCTGGAGACAAACTGTGTGGATTTCAGGATGAATATTATATCCAGTCTGCTGTATTGGGTGTTTGCCTTCCAGATTGACCCCGTGACAGGGATGGTGATGAACCTCACCGATCTCAAGGACTACATGGAGGTAAAGAAGCAGCGCTTTTGTAAGGATTGTCAGAAGGTGGCCCCAACTGTTATGCATCCTATGGGTGATCAAAGCAGGCATCATGCCCACATCCTCTTGGCTTCAGAGTTCAATGACCTGGAAGCTGATCAATAAGTCATGGTCATAGGGGAGGGAATAGGATCTCTGTCAGGGAGAGCCAGGTGAGTTTTGCATCCTTTTCAGAAGGTGACGCAAAGCAATGTGGCCAGGTAAACAGAGCCAGCCTCCCTTTATAAAGTACGTGGAAGCGTTAAAGCATATGGCTAACGAGCCAATTCTTTCTTCTCTGTCCTCCCCAGGAAGCCATCATGGAGCCTCTTGACCACAAGAACCTAGACAAGGACGTCCCCTACTTCATGGACACAGTCAGGTAAGCACCATCCTTAGGTCCAAAACTCAGATCTGGGAAAAGCTTCAAAAAGGAAGGCAGGTAGGAGATCAAAGGCCTATCCATTTGAGCACAGTCGGCGGAAGCAAGTCCGCTAGCCGCTTCCCCAGGGAGGTGTCGGAATCAGAGCCGGAAAGGCTGGATTAAGTCTTCTTCCTTCTTTCCCTCGCAGCACAACGGAGAATGTCGCTGTATTCATCTGGGAAAACCTCCAGGAACGCTGCCCTCAAGGGATGCTTTACAAAGTCAAAGTCTATGAAACGGACAAGAACGCTGTGGTTTACAAGGGGGAAGGGGCCGCTTAGGAGACGGCAAGTCACGAATCGCAGGATGCTTTTGATCCGCGGAGCGGGGAAATCAGACCGTGCAGTCGTACCCTTGGCAAGTCTTCGGATGTGTCAGAAGGCATCTTTTTCTTGAACGTCTCTCCTCCTCCCACTTCTTCCTCCTCCTCCTCCTTCTCCTTCCCCCTCTTTTCCTTCCTCCCTTCTCCTTTTCCTCCTTCCTTCCTTCCTTCTTTCCCCTTCTCCTCTTCTTCCTTCCCCTCCTCCTTTCCTTTCCCTCTCTCTTCCTTTCTCTTCCTTCCTTCCTTCTTTCCTCTCCTCTTTTCTTTTCCCCTCCCTCCCTCCCTCCTTCCTTTCCCCTTTTCCTTTCCTTCCCCCTTTCCTTTTCTTTTTCCCCTTTCCTTTCTTCTTTCTTTTTTTCCTTCTCCTTTCCCTTCTTCTTCTTTTCCTCTTTTCTTCTTTCTTTTCCTTTTTCTCTTTGTCTTTTCTCTCCCCCCTTTTTTATTCTTCTCCTCTCCTTCCTTTTCTCCTTTCTCTTCCTCCTTTCTTCTTTTTTCTTCCTCCCTCTCTCTTCCTCCTCTTTTTTTCCTCCCTTTTCCTTCCTTCCTTCTCCTCCTCTCTCTTTTTCTCCTTCCCTCCTTCCTTTTTTC